GATGGATGGATGGATGGATGGATGGATGGATGGATGGATGGATGGATGGATGGATGGATGGATGGATGGATGGATGGATGGATGGATAGATAGATAGATAGATATATAGATCAACTCTTGATAGATAAGCCTTAAGCCCCACGCCACTTGGATTGAAAGAACCTCTTCATGTGGGGGTTGAAATAGAGTCAAGAGTCTACATTATATACTTGACTTGGATGATGCCAAATCGTTTTGGATTGTGCGATCCATCACTGATGGCGATAGAAAAACCCTGTGCGGTCAATACACGACCGCCATCCCATGGGATGGCGTGGATGAAGCGGGAAATTTTGGGGGGACATCTCAGCACCTTGTCAACAGGAAAAGACACCATAATATATCTACACCAATCCTGCAATCACGTGGCTCGAGTGTCTGGTGATGACATGCTTTTTGGGGAAGTCCCTTTGGATCCACTTCATCCGGAGAGAAACACCAAGCGGAACGTCAACCGTGTTGGTGTAGAAACAACCATCGACCATCTCCCACCCAAAAAGCAGAACCCCAAACGGCGGCATGGCGAGGATAAATCAACATCTCTCCTCCTGTCTCCTGGCCGCCTGGCCCCTTTTGGCTTCCTACCACCTCGCCCCCAAACCACACACCTCGCCCCACCACTCGCTTCACTCGGTTCGCTCGACAGGTGGCTCCTGGTTCAAGATGTGCACCTTCCAATCAGGATTCATCTTCCTCACGAAGCTCTTGCGGGACACAGCGAGCAGTGCTCAGGGTTCGCAACGGTTCGCCCGCCAGCGAGGCGCTCCAAACCAAGAGGACCCCCACGCCTCCACCGCCTCCCGCCCGGGCTCTGCCCATTCGGCCGGGCTCTCGCCGTTGCGGCGCGTTCGGTGCTCGCCGTCGCCTCCAGGATCGGTGGCACAAATCCAAGAAGGACTGGGTCGTCGCTTCAATCCGATGGCCCCAGTCGACCTGACGACCACAGTCGGACCGGACGGTCGGTCGGGTGCGCGGGGCCACGTCTTAGGGCGGGGGGGAGAGAAAGGAAGCCGATGAAAGCCGGAGTGGCGGGTGACAAACCGTTCACTCATGGGAGCGTTCCAACCTTCTCCAGAGATCGTTTGCAACCTCATCGCCCAGTGCGTGGCAACCAATGTGAGAAACTCATGCAACCTCCATCGCAAGGTGGTCGCCCAGCGATGAACCCTTGGGCCCAAGGGGGTCTTTCGTCACTTGAGAGGTGGTCTTTTCTACCAACGGTGTCGCTTAAACATATCCAATAAGAATAACCAAACACTGGGGTGCAGGATCCAAACGATCACATGCAAGAACAAATAGTTGTGGATGAGTTATAAACCGGTTCTAACAATAACCACTCCATTTCTTCTAGCCATGAACATCCTCCGTCCAATTGTTCGGTGCTGCCAGGTGTCGTATTTCCACTGTTTAAAGGCTGAGTCTCCTCCGGTTTCGCCGTCCGGTCTTGCTCTTCGGGTCCAGCGACGTCCGCGTTCGTCCGGTTTCGTGCCTTCTTCATATCCTCCCAGTAAGTCCAAATGATCTTCGGCACAGGTCGATTCGGCGGAGCATACACACCCACCTGGGCGCAGCGCGGCGCGGCAGTGCACCCCACAGGCGGAGTTCTTCTACATCTACGTCTTTGATGTTTCAAGGTGCTCTGCATTGCCTAAACAAATGGTGGTCGGAAACACCAAGTTATACCTGAGGGGCGCAAATGTCAAACCAGCTTCCATGCAGACTGTCATTGTGTTCTGACTATGTGATCGCAATTCCCCATGTCTTGGTGTTGGAAATGCAAAGGTCCCTGACCACCTCCCTATTCGTCTTAAAGTCTTTGCATGTCAAAAGATTGATGGTCTTTGCGAGAAATCAATCCATTGAAAGCAGGAAGGGCTCCCTGTTTCTTCCATCGATATCCTCCTCACCCCAAACGCATCGCGGTGCGCATCGCTTGTGTGTTCACTCACAGCCCCACAGAGCTCAGATCGGTGCGCAGGTCGCCCGCTGTTCGGTCCAAGTCACACTGTTGTGGTGCCATCTCTTCCTGCCACGTCTTCACCACACGTGGAGGTGTCGAACGTGTCAAAACAATAGAACGCGCTCAACAGCTTTCTTTCGTGTTTTTCACAAGTGGTGGGTGCCACCTGGGTGGTGACAGTGATAGTTCTGTCGGAAGGGATGGAGGATGGCAAGTGGGCTCAGAAAGATGACTCTCTCCCTCACGCCTCACGCCTCACAGCTGGTCTACATCCGTTGCCAGATCCCATCCGACCAATCACATTTGCCCTCTCGCCCTTGCCGACGCCCGTAACGCCCGCACCTCCAGTAGCACTTGAAGGCAGGGTTCCAATCGTATGCCGATGGGACGCCCTCATCCTGCCCGACGTGACTGTCGGGACGATGGCGTGGGAACCAAAGAGGAACAAAAAAACTCGAGACGACCGAGGGGCGTGGCTGGCACACGTGCCAGCGCTTGAAACCAAGACGATGTTCCAAACCCCACCACAGGCCTCCATGAGGTCATCTGCATTCATCTACCATCTACAGCTTCTCTGAATCGCACCCATTCATCTCTGTCCAAAGAGCTATGAATCGGGGTCTGCAAATTCTCCAGCTTTGCAATGGTCTGGCTTTCTTCAAAACTCTTGATTTGGAGCCGCCCTTCTGTCCAAACCAGATCTTCTTTGAAGTTCAGCTGAGCCCCCTGTGACTTGAGGTCAATGGATGAAATCTGCTCTGGAGAGGGTCCAAACTTGGGTTGGATTTCTCACTTTCATACCATCCAGCCCACATCCAGCCCACATCCAGCCCACATCCCACTCCTCCCCTTTGGAAACCGAGACCGACGGTCGACCATCCACCCCATCCGACCTCCCAGACCATACTACATTTCGCATTCTCGCCCTCTCCGAAGGTCACAAAGCCTCGCGCGCGCACCCGCGCGTCGCGCGTCACGGGCCGTCACCCCTCCGTGGGTCCTGGACATCCAACGATTAGTTCCTCTCAATAACCAGGTGACATGGATATCGAGTTAGACCAACTTCCGTTAGGTGCGATGACTGGGAGGCTGAACTCTGCTCCAGTTGACCCATGTTGACCCCCCTCGATGTGTTGTGCACCAAGGCGGTGTTTCAGTCTCTCCCTCGGATGCTTCAGTATCATCGGCAGCTGCTGGTGGGGAGGGACCTCCGGATGGTTTCAAGGAATCTATATAGGATGACCATATGTTAAATGGAGCAATCTTCCAAGAACGGAAAGCCCATCGAACCAGGTCGTGCACAGCTCACTTGGGGTGGTGCTACACTGCTGCTACACTGCTGCTGTCTCGCATGGATTTCGGCCAAAGCTTCTGACGAAGTGTCGCTCCAAAAAGAAGTTGTTGCGTTTTGCCAAGGTGTTCATTTGGGGATGTTCTGCCCCCTTTCCTGGATGTAGGTATGTGGTTGCCTCTCAAGGATGAACGCTGAGGCAAATCCTGGTTGACCTAGCTGCAGCCTTTGCTTGGGCTCTGGCTACGCCACATCCCCTCGTTCTCCAAGGACTTGTTTTCAATCAGCTTGGTGTCAAGGCAACTCTTACAAACCTTTCCAGAATCAATCAGGAGCATGGAGAAATTTGACCTGCTAGAAGGAACGCACGAACGAACCGTTCGAGCGCGCGGGGATCACATCGGATCTGGCTGCTTCACTGCCACGTGGCCGGTGCACCAGGGCTTGGACTGACAGTCCGCTTCACCTCAGGATGGGGGTTCCGGAGGTCCCCAAACCAAAGCGACAGAACAATCTTTTTCGTGTAACTCCCAAAAGTTTGGGAAAACTTAGACCTGCGAATCTTCAGTGATGAAACCAGTGAGTCTTGGGAAAACTAGGAAAGCAAACTCGGGTCACTCTCGCAACGCTTCAAGAGGTGATTACAGCAACCTCAATTGATAAGGAGCGAATGACCAAAATGATGAACCGGCCTCCAAGTTCCTCGCAAAGACCCCTGGAAGAAGGAAAATAGACTGAAACACATTGGTTGGGGATCTCTGTATCAAAATACACTCCCAGCTCCATGTTCCCTGAATTCCTGGAACCTTTGTCATTGCGTGGCCATTCGTGGCATTTGAATGGCCTCGCAGACTTGGTCCAAATGGCAGGGGGTGCAAGTCGACAAGCCCGATGTCAACCAAGCCACAAACCCCATGTGGTGCTCAGGAGGGCAATTTCTGTCTCAGAGTTTCAGGTTTGGACCGCACACCATGCGAAGATCTGGCAAGCCCACGTCTGGTTGAACACCTTCCGAACAATAGATGTCCGCGGCAAAGGATTCTTGTGCTTCCAACCCACTTTGAGACACACTCAGCTCGGCCTACACATTGGACGATTGTCTGGTCCCGACCAAATCAGCAGTTGTCTCATCCGTGTTTTTGCCTCAGCCGATTCGTAGCACTCAAATCCCAAACGAAGTCACCATTGCTGCACTTTGACAGAACCACCATGAACCAACATCCATGCGGTTTAGGTCCATGTGGATTCGTGGATTCCCCACCCCCGTCGGCGGTCCACGTGTTCCTTCGCTTCACCACGCGGCATTTGGCATGATCGCCGGGTGTAAAGAGCTGCATCACGTCTTGGTGGGTGACCCAGGTGTTGTACTTCGGGATCAGCCTCAGCTAAAAAGGCCATTCGCTGCCCTTTAAGCGATGCGAGGCTCGAAAAGCGATGCGAGTGTGATTCCGCGAGAAGGACCGGGAGAAAAGGGCTCCGACCACTTCCTGCGAGCTTGATTTCAGAAAAGGATAGAAACAACAACAGCAACAGCAACAACAACACCAACAGCAGCAGCAGCAGCCGCAGCAGCAGCCGCAGCAGCAGCAGCAGCAAAGAAAAGGAATCCACACTCACCGCTTCAATTCTTTTTGGGTGGGTGCAAAGAGCGCAGAAGGAGCTCTTTTTGATACTGATCGTTCTTTTTCCTTGCTTGGCTGAGCTCTGTGGAATGTAGAACAACTTAGAACAACTGCTTTCGAGATATTTTTGGTTGGAGGCCTTCCATAGTTTGCTGAAAAGCATAAGCCAGCTAGTCTCTCACTTGGAATCCTGAACCAAGATTTATGGAGTGGCTCCCCGTAATTAGCTCCCAAGTAGTCTCATCTTCCACTTCTGGGTTGGTCTAACGTCGGGGAATTTGCCCTTGCTCCGCGTTTACCCCGTCTCGACTCCTCAAACGCTAAATCCGGGCGACTCGCTCGTGGACCATGTCGTGCGCATGCAGAGGCCCTTGCCCAAGAGTGGAAAGACCTGGCAATTCATTTGGTCTGGAACACTCAGCCAAAGCCAAATGGAGAACTGTCTTTTTTCTGGGCGATTACTAGGGAAAATATATATGGGAACCAGATCCGTATGTCTTTCATCAGCTTCCAGAGTCAAGTTTTGACATGAGCTTGTACACAACCTGAGCTTTGATGATGGACACCACACCAAGGACTGGCCGATTGGCCTCCTTCGGAGCACCTGATTCTTTGGCTGGCCTCCCCCATCAGTGGCCGGGGTACACCTCCTCGAGGAATCTTCTCTCGAACTCTCCCAGTGTCTTCCTTCATCTTTCACAACGAAACATCGGCACGTCTAGAGCAAAGCCATGCAAAGCCTGCATCATCGGGTGCTACTGTGAAGGTCTTCCCACCAGTTCTTATTCTTGCAAAAGTTTATCTATATATATATATACATATATACTGTCCTGTCTATTATATATATATATACACCGACAAGGCACATCCCTTGTCTTAAATCTTGTGTCTGCACGAGGACAGATTAAATCCTCTGCGGCACAGCCAAGCTACACCAGAAGACTTGGCCGCTTCATGTCATTTCTTTCCATCCACCACCCAAAACTGCCCTGAAAAGGTCCACATCCACCATCCACCCACCGCCCACTGCCCACCGGGCCTCGCTGCTATTGCCCCAGAGCTCCCCGGGCTTCCGCTGCTTCTTCGACCCGCTGGACCCGCTGGACGCGCTGGACGCGCTGCTCGACTCGTTGGAGGCGCTGCCTTGGACGAGTCCGAGACGGGACGTGGACGGGACGAACGGCGATTCTCGGGTCACGGTGCCAACCGAACGTAAGAAAACGGGGTCCGCCCCCCCCCAAAAAAAAAGCTCAGGTGGATGAGATCTCAAGAAACAAGTTCCCTTGAGCAATGCATATACTCAGGCCCAAGATAAGGCGCTGCAACCTCAATCTTAGACAGTTGGTCGTTCCCCAGTGGCCAAACTCTGTCTGGTCCCTGAGATTCCAACGGTTCTGCAAGCCAAATCCACCCCAGGAGTGGTTCTGCAAGATGCCCAGCAACGTCTCACCGCCTCGACCAGAAAAGAAAGATCGGGCACGGCATCGATCGATAGATCGATCGATCGACGGAGAATTGGACTGGACTGTTTTGCATGGCATGGCACAAGCGCAAAACCTTTCTGCTGGTGATTCTCAGAGTTGGTGTTCGGCCTCCCTCAGCGATTTGAGGGGAGAAAGCCAAAGGTTCGACCACCCCTGAGGCTCCACACTATTGGCAATGCCTCCCCATGCAGAGGGGTTTCCCAAGGTCAAGAGGGGCTTCCCACCTTGGGCGCTGCTCATCCGAGACGATTGGGTCAACTGGCGAAGAGTTCGCCTCGCCAGATCTGGGGTAGTGGAAAATGGACCATCAATCCTTCCCCCGTTTTCTTGTTTGAACAAAACCCACCTGAACAGAGCTAAAATCGAACATCTTCTTCTGGAAAAATGGAAAAATAAAAAGCGAGTGGCCTCCCGAAACTGGATTGTCCCCAAAACGGACTTTGCGACGACCTGTGGGACTGAAAGGCCAGCGAAGGTGGAGGGATGGCCTTGAAAGACCACGTTGCTTTCACGGTCTTCTTCGGTGTGGGGCGCAAGGAGGTCTTCTTTGAGTCGAAGGAAAAGTGGATCCAAACCCTGTGCGAGGCAGGAGCCGGCACCGAAGAACTCCTTGCCACCTTGGAGGTGAAAGGCTCAGTCGGCTCAGTTGTTTCATGATGTGTGGGGGTTTGTCTGTGTTTGTATTGGTGTTTGTCAGCAGAAATGCCTGTGGTCTTTCCATTCAGTAGGTGCTGGTCCAATTCAGAAACTGCTGGGTTTAGGAACACTGCTTAGCCACTTGATCTACTTGAGGTTCATGATAGATTTCAGGTGAGGTTTTGTTGCAGCAAATACTGGCAAGCCAGCCTGGGATGCTCTGGGGGCACTTTCCATGTGGGGCGATCCGCAGGGGTGTAGGAAGGGGGATCAAAGAGAACATTAAGTCATCACAGAGTCATCAGAGATACCGCAGTCATCCTGCAAGAAGTAGCCTAGCGAAGGGTGGATGGAGTCCCCGAGGGATAAATAGATACAAGAACCATCTTCCAAAAACCCGAAGTCCGTCCCTCCCCGCTCCACCCAACCACGAACACATCGCCGCTCGGCTCCCCTGGCCAGCTTCCCAGGGCTCATCGCCTCAGCGCGGGAGGCGGTTGGACCGCGACCGGTTCGAAGCCCATCGGGGGAAAGGTGATGTTTTGAGTCTAAGAAGTTCATGTGTCTACCATGAGCGTAGATGAGTCATCATCACATGGTGACATATTCTACGATTTTTGTCTATAGGGGTTGACTTCAATGGCAACCAGCAGATTTAACGACATTCCCAATGGTGTCATAAGCTGCGGGACTACAATCAACCTCAGCCGGAACTTGGAAAGGAAGAATAAAGACCCCATCATCTATTCCGTCGATTCTTGCACCGCTCAAGGCGTTGTGGGGAGAATACTGAGCTGAGAAGATGGAAGTTCCCTTATGGCTGGTCGGATCTTGACAGTAAATCAACAGGATGGATCACATATATGACTGCTAAAACCTGCCACTGCACTGATCAAAATGGGTCTTGAAATAAGTAAACAACACCACATGCAGGTGTCTCGAACTGATACCCAGTACCCTGCAGAAAGTTTAAGTTCTTGGAAGTACAAGTCTCATCATCTGCCAAAAAAGGAACAAAAACAATGGTCGCATTCTACCGTCGCTTGGCTTCCAGACCGTCAAAGGTGAAATTTCCCCAGGACTGGTTCCGCAAGGCTTCGGACCACGGCCAGGGGTCACCACCTGGCCAGATTGAAAAGCACGGCAGAAAGCTGTGGTCCGAAGAAAGAAAGGCGGAATTGGCAGGAGAAGAGCAGGAATTTGGGCTTCACATCAAAAGAAAGGCCATTGAAGAAATCCTCCACTTCAAGGTAGTTGTCTCATTGGCTTCACCAAATGATGAAAACACAGGTTTGACTCCCCAGAACTCGTTCCAGAACTCGTTCCATGTCTTCCAGGCTGAGCGGCTGAAAGGGTAGTAGGCGAAAATGACGATGAGGACAAAGAAGACGCAGATCATGCAACTGCGACGACGCTCCGCTTGGCCCGTTGGGGGTTCGGCGTTCGGTGCCATTCAAGCAGGATCGAGTCCCATGTTTCCCTGGGGGAAGAGCAGGTCTCCGGGCCCAGCAAAACCAATACATAAAGAATAATTAAGGTGTGTGCCATCTGTCGTTAGCACCCTGGATAATCGCAAAAGCAAATCCAGCTAGCAAGGTGAACACCACCCTCTTTATGGCCTCGCCAGGTGGAGAAAAGGCCAAAAAGTCATTGCTCCCCCTAATAAAAATGTAAAGCTCATCAGCTCGCTTCCAAAAAGCACGAGAAGCTCCAAGTGCTATTGCCTGTGCCTTGTACACCAAACTGTTTGACTATCGAAGATATTTACCAATACCCATGCAGAAACACATCTTCCCAGGCCATCCTTTTTCACCACTCCATCCCGATCTCCAGACCCGCCATCATCGTCACCTCATTCACCGCTGTTTCCACTGCCCTCATCGTCAGCCCGCAGCTGGTCACTGGGAGCCCGCACGACGCCAAAATGAAAATGGGTCGCTTCGAGTCCTCAACCACTTCCTCAATCGAGAAAGGGGGCAGTAGAATGCCGCAAGTTCTTTTAGAGATTCAATCAAAGGACGGGCAGAACCCCACCGTTGCAATAACCAATTATACTCGAGGTTCAATTGGGATTTACTTTTTCCCTACATTGTGTGCTAACTGCCCAGTGGAACAGCGACCTCGGAGGCAGCATCCTCCAAAAATAGGTGTTCTTTCCATTCCATTGCCGCACAAAGGCAGTACCACCAGTCATTCTGCATATGGCGCCACGTGTCGAGTTGATGACAACTCTCTCACCAGCCACTGTCTCAGTTGCAGGAATTTGCAATGACCCGATTTGTTCGCGTGTTCAACCACACACACCCCTTGCCCTCTCATCTTGTTTCTTCCCAAACATCTTAAGTCAATCACTGTTGCACGGCGACACCTCTCTCAACACTTACGGGGGCCAAACACCGCCAAGAGGCGAACATTCTTTTTCGGGGTTGGAAAATGAATCACCAAAAGCCGTGCAAATGCCCTGTCGTTTGAACGGCAATCAAGGGGAGGATGTCTACCCTGTCATTCCGTTTCAAGCTGTACCAGGAACCCTTGCCAATCAAGCATTCAAATATATTCAATCCTGATGAAAAATTCAATTTCAACTTGACCCCAACAACCTCAGGATGTCAGGACTCCCTCCTTCCTCTTCCGCCCGCCGAGGGGCCGGGGAATTTCCCGTGTTGCTGCTGTTGGCTTTTCGGCCCTCTTCCAAGTCCCTGGGAGGTTTCGAAAAATGCACGTGGTCCTTTCCGATGGTGGAATTTCACGTGTCACATTGTACCCAGTGTTTTCTTTTGAAACAAGCACCTTCACAAGGTTTGGGTTTTTGTAAGATTGGAATGGATGCCTTTTTTCGAACAAGAGTGGTCTGTGAGTGGCTGTTGAATTGCTTGTTTTACTGAGGGCAAGCCCTTGGAAGAACGCTGTGTTTTCATGAGATCCCCGCGTTCGGAGTCCTTTCTTGGAGCCTACAAACATGTGTGTCTGTGTGTGTGTATTTCAAAAAAATCATATAAACACCCTGCACCCGCGACCTAGCCGGAGAAACTCGGCCCTCTGCGCGGCGAGCTCACGTGTAGAATTCAGCAGCGGCACGTCAACTGCCAAGCGCGAATTGGTGTGAGCAGATCTCAAGCGCTTGAATGTGAGATTTGCACAGCTGGTACCAAAGGTTTCTCAAGTGTTGACCGGGTTTGTAGTACCCGCAGATGTACAGAAGAAAGAAACAGCAAAAATGAAAAGGAGCCTCTCCGGTCTCCCGCCCGTTGGTTGCACAGCTGGTCGTTGATGCCAACGCGACACTAGAGTTCAATTGGCAGTGCAGCAGTGACCCCAAGTAAATGGAGACAGCCGAAGTGTATCTATAATAGGCTGATTAAAACAGGGACCGCTGGCCTCTTCCGAGGAAATCCTTTCGCCTCAAAAACTGCTTTTGACTAGATTGGATACGTTGCAACTGGCTTGACCAAACGGTGATGTTCTCCAAACCGCCTGCCACGTCTCCCATTCCACTGGGTCTCCTGGCCCTCGGAAGCCATGTCCCGAGAGGCCAACTCCTTGACGGGCAAGTCCGTGACACCCTCAGGAGCTTTAAGCAGCCACATCTGCCAAGCTGCACAGATAGGCAGATAGACAAATAGATAAAAAGACAAGAGAGAAAGAGATAAAAATAGATCGACATGGATATGGATGTAACCTCATCTGACTGGATCCGGTCATGCAAAACATCAAATCCAGTACTCAATGAGGTCAAGGACCAGGTTTAACTTGGCCCTTGGACTTGTAGGGTATAGATATATGGACCGGTCTGTGGACAACCCGATTGGCTTCGTCAACCACTTCATGCTGTTCAGCTTTGGATCGCAACCCGTTAGATGTTGTGGTTCTGACGAGTTCGGCTCATTGGTGGAGAACACGGAAGGAAACCTTGTACCGACCAGAAGTCCACCAGCTGCTCCTGTTTTCGTAGCAACTCAGGACAAATGAACGCGTGCCTGGTCTGACCGTCTGACACCTTCGCCTCTGATCCACCCAGCCCAGTTGCTGTGTTGGCGTCATTCTGGTCCTTTCGAGTCTCCAGGTTCCTGCCGCACAAGCTAGAGGTGTTCCTGGGTCTGAACGGCTTTCATCATCACTGTGCCATGAACATTGCCAGCAGTTGTCTTTTTCCATGAAGCTACAAGTACCACCGTTGGCCACGCATTATTTATTGCTTTGGAGAGTGGGTTCTGTCAGCAGTTCAGTCTCCGCTTCTTTCCAATCTAAACTTTAGGACCTGATTCCGGCACTTTAACAAAGACACAAAGGTGGCTGCGTCTGAAAATGAGGGATTGAGGGAAGCAGGATATTATATACTTGCCAAACCCACTGCAGAGCTACCTCTGCAATCTAGCAGTCTCGAATTGACCCACAACCATAGCCCGAACCGTTCTGGGCTATTTTTCACGTCTGGATCTCTTGCTCGAACCGCGCCTTTACTACCATTGCATGTCCATCAATCTTATTAAGATCCTGGGGGACCCAGAAACCAACCGAGCAGCTTGAGCCGACCCACCAACTGCACTGCCGCACCCACCCGATCGCCCGACCGGCCAGCAGCCTGCCATCAGCTTGAGCCTCAGCTTCCTTCGGGCCGTCGGTCGTTGGACCGGTTCCCTCAGGAAGGGCGTCAGAAGGAACACCTCGGGTGCAGGCTGGAAGACAGAAATGCAACAAGTATAGTGACGCAGGGAAGCTCTCAGGTTGGAGTTCTATGAGGATCAAACTCTGACTCTGGAAGTTTAAGGAATTGCGAAAATCTATTTGGAACTTTGCACTGTTCCTTAGCACTTCAGGTGCAGCAAGAATTCAGTCTTCCCCTGCAGTTCACCAGACATGATGAACATCCGAAACAGGCTCGAAATTATCAAGCGGAAACACGAGCCCATTCCACACTGTTGAAAACAAAAACTTTGTCGTGAAAAAGCGCCGGGGGCAAGTGATATGGGCACCACCCAGTTTTGCATCTAATGGAACCTCTCGTGCAACCAAGCGACTTCCAGAGGCCATCTGCGTGCAGGCCTCAGAAGCCCAAGCAGTTGCGTAGGCGCTTCTGAGTGTGAATGATTCTGAAACTCTCCAAATCCAATTCACCCAGAATCAAGTGAATCACAGATCTCGGCCACTGCCCTTGGTCATTGGAGCCTTTGTGCAAGTTTTCTTTGGAAGGGGAAACATGAAATCGCGGAAGTCCGCAACGGCAACACCAATCTCCTTCGTTCTTGGGTCACTTTTTCCTTCGGACATCCATTCCTGGCAATCCTGCGAGAACAAGGCCTTGCCTTTTTCTGATCCTGCAAGGTGAAGGCGGTATGTGTTGGTAGTAGGGATGCCCCTTCGTCTCTGCGCATTGTGGAAAAACATCAACAACAGGTGTCAGGCTGGTTTTCTGAAGAAGCAATGGTTGATTCAACTCTCTTTCAATTCTAATGATTCTAATGAAACTGCCACGCTCTATAAAACGGTAAAAACAGACGTGCTGAAAATAGTCGAGTGACCACAGATCGTTCGAGAAAAATGAGAATCCGAAAGCATCCATCAGGACTCACCAAGATTAAGCTTCCTGCGGACCATGTCTTGTGGCGGACGAACTACCCAGTCGGGCCACCAACTGAGAACCGAAGCGGCAACAGCAAGCGGCAACGAGTCCTTGTTGGTTCGTCTTCTGGGTAGGGCCGGCTTTTATTCTGAACATGTGTCTCACGCAAATGTCCTTCCATAACCCTTTTGTTCCCAAACATGTTCGCAACTGTTGTTTATCATTTATAAAGTATTGTTTTCAAAATCTTGGAACATAATTAAACCTGGTCTAGGCAAAAACTCAACAAGGAATCAAAGTTTCATAGGTTTACAGTTCAAATGAATCATCGTGCAGCTTCAACAAGGCACACTCCACCGCGCAAGAAACACTTCTTTCAGCTTCCTGGCGCATTCTCAAATTGTTTCACTAGACTAGGAGCCTGTGAAACCCACTTTGTGTCTTGTTACACTGCGAGAAGTATCTTGGCACTGTGTTGATGTCCCTGTAAAGCAGTGAAGGGAGGGTCCAAGTAGGTTGTAGGGCATGTGGATGCTTTGGGGGGAGGCACTGCTGTGAACTTCAGCGCTAGCCCGCGTCTTCGACGTCTTCTGTCGGCTATCTTCTTCTTCGACCTGGCCAACGAGACCTCTTCAGTCTCCAACGAGAGGAAGCAACGAAACTCTGTATTGGGAAGAATAACTATCTACGGCTGCACAACAAAACTGCAGTCATGGCCTTTTCGTTTGTTCCCGAAAACTCAGCTTTTCTCAACTCGAAGACCCCCATCAAGGGCGAACCGGCCTTGGCTGCCGTGCCCTTGTTCGGCCTCGGCTTTGCTGTTGACAGGCTGCTTCGTGGTCATGGCTTCGCAGTCGTGCCAAGCATATAGCAGTCGTGCCAAGCATATAGCCGCTAGGCATTGACAGGGCATCATGACCTCTTTTTTTGGAGTAGTTCAAAATTGAAGAATGGCTGCGGCTTTTGCACAGCCAAGGTTCTACAAAACAAGAACGGCCCTAATCATGAAGAAAACTCACTTGTGGAGTGTGGAGCCAATCAAGCTTGATGAAGGTGATCGTGAATGTGCCACCGCTGCGCAAGGGCTGCGGGTTCGTGGGCTGGCCGTCCACGGTTTTGTCCTCACAGCCCTGGGTCGTAGCATTCTCCCACCAATGTTCGCCCGAGCCATTGGTTGGGGTGGTCGGATACTGATATTTGGCTGTGTGTCCGCAGGAGTAGGAATTGCTCCATGCGGCCTTACCTTCCTTTCCCCAAACGTTGCTCTTGAACTCGGGCAGCGCTTGGCAGTTCTTCGGTTGGTTGGGGCCTCCGTAGCCGCAGGAGGTGGTGTTGCAGACCCACTCATCCATTGCCCAGCAATAGGCCTGGGCCTTCTGGTCCTTGAGCCAACTGCAATAGCTTGCGCCATGCGCATAGAGGTAAGCATAGTAGACCCGGCAGGCATGCTGGCCACAGGGGTCATTCGCAATAGACGGTGGACAACCTGCCAAGCATCCATCATCAGGGCACCCGGCTTGCCCCTTGCCATCCTTGCCATATGGCCAGGTATAATTGCACTTGGCACAGTCCGCTTTGCCCCTGTTCTTGTCGGACTTCAGCGTCATGAAGCCAAAGTTGGTCGGTTCTCGCTTTAGCGAGGGATACTTGCTGGCATCTGGCCTTTCGGGCGCTGCCTGAACGGTGGTCTTCCTGATCTGGCCGGTCACCTGTCCATCATCTTCATAACTCATACTCAGTCCACCTGCGGGGCAGCGCTTTTTTAACCCTAAAGCCTAAAACATGTTTTTCTAACCCTAACCTTTTATCAACCTGAAATCTGCTTAACCCTCCCTGAAACTTGCATTTCTAACCCCGCAACCTGCTTGTCTAACCCTAGACCTAGACTACTCTTTCTAACCCAAAATTAAGATAGATGGTTTTGGTGTCACCAACGGAGATGATGATGCGAGGCCATCCAAAGCAGAGAAGCGCACTGAGGAGACATCAGATCGACCATTGCAGCCATCTCGAGGAATGTCACGCAGCCGTGACGAACGATCTGTGGCACTGAGCTCCTACAACTTGTCTCGCCAGCTGGATGGATTGCCTCCAGTGCAGCATACAGATCCCATCTTCCAGAGGTACATGGACGCGCTGGAACCCCTGGACGATGACGAGATGTTGATGGCAAAGCACTTCAATTAGAAGAAGCTGACTCCTGACCAACGTAAGGAGTTCGACGAAGCCAAGGACTCGGCTCTGAAGGTGTGGATCGAGAATGCCGCCTGGAAAGCTGTTCCTGAAGAGGAAGCCAAAGAGGGCGAGGTGGTGCCTGCCAAATTCCTTCAACGATGGAAGCCAACGGCTGATGGGCACAAAGCAAATGCCAGGGTCATCCTCCAAGGCTTTCGTCACAAGGACTTCTTGAATGAGAACCTGGTGAAGGAGTCACCCACTTTGAGCCGACTTGGACGCATCACGCTGATGGTGTGGGCTGTTCATCGAAAATGGAAGGTCTGGTGTGCAGATGTCAAGTCTGCATTTATGCAGGCAAACTCCATCGACGACACCACCCGCATCTATGTGAAGCCCCCTGCTCAGATGAGGAGGCGACTGGAGAGACTGATGGGATTGAAGAGTCATGAGATCCTCAAGGCAACAAAGCCCGCGTTTGGAGATGTTCGAGCGCCACGCCAGTGGAATGAGACGGCCAATGACTACTTGGTCAATGAGCTCGGGCTGATCAATCATCCTTTGGATCGGTGCCTGTACTTGTCCTTGAGGCCAGCTGTTCAAGAGGATCCCAGCTTCCTGATCTTTGAGAACAAGGGTGGCTATTGGATTGTGGACGGAGCTCTTGGGCTGCACGTTGATGACTTCTTGGGTGCCGGTGAGGGCATCTACAGTCTCAACGAGGTGAAGTTTGATGCAGCTGGAGCATGTGAGAACTTCCAAAACCGGGTGAACCTACTTTTTGAGATGTTTCGGTTCAGGTCGTGGGACTTCGGAGACGAGATGAGGCTTTGTGGGGCTGAAGTTCATCAAAGTCCCGACATGGAGGCGATCAGTGTCTCATTGAAGGAATATGTGAACAAGATCAAGCCCCTGAGTATGGAGAAGGTGAGAAAGAACATGCAGGACGACTACTGCGCGGACAAGGAGCACCGGTTGCTCAGGGCTTTGGTCGGCGCTATGTCATGGCCAGTGACGCAATGCCTCCCGCAAGCTGCCGCTACAATCAGCATTCTCCAGGCCAACATCAGCAGGCCGACAGTGAAGGACATGCTTGATGCGAACAAGTGCTTGAGGTTCATGAAGGAAGTGGTCAAAGATTATACCTTCACTATCCGTTGTCACGGAGAGTTGGAGAGCTTGCGGATTGGAGTTTACTGCGACGCAGCATGGTCCGTACGACCAGACGGCAGCTCCCAGGGTGGCATGCTCATGTTCTTGGCCAACCAGTAACCAGGATGAAGTGCAAAGAGAGACACCGTTCCCTCTCACGGTGATCGACTGGTCGAGCAAGAAGCTGGTTTGCATGTGCCGGAGCTCACTCGCTGCGGAAGCGCAATCGCAAACGATCGCTGTGGACGAGTTGGAATTGGCAAAAGTGTTCTTCGCTTCCATGGTGAACCCGTACGTCCCGATTCAGCTGGATGAGACCATGCACATGTTCATGCAGTCTCCGGTGATCACCGACCCGAAGGCACTGTATGACAGTGCAAGTTCAGTGACCCCGGGATTGAAGCTGTCAGAGCGCCGCACAGCCATTGAGATTAGTATTTTGAGGGAGCACATGAGGGCAGCGCTTGGTCAGTTCAGGTGGGTCTACTCCCTTCAACAACTTGCCGACGGACTCACCAAGCCTTCTGCAAAAGATGCTCTCGCACACACTTTGGCCCGTGGAGCGCACGCCCTCAAGTACGACCTCAACGTTGTGGCGGCAAAGAAGGTCAGTGCGGAGGCCAAGGAGCAGGAGCACCTGGAATATGAGAAGGCGGCGGAAGAGCTCTTTGATGGGCAGGTCTTCTATGTCGACAAGAGCGAGTTGAAGGAGAAGCAAAAGTTGTGCATGCTGCCGGGATGCAACAAGCAGCGAGACTCGACAACAGAGAGCAATTG